CCAGAGCATAGGGGAGAAGGCCCAGGCTGGGGAGAGAGCTGGGAGGCAGGAGTCCTAGGACTTGGTTACTGGCTGTCTTCAGGGAGCAAGGGACCAGCGGTACACCCAGATTTTAGCCTAAGTCCAAGTAGATGGTATACTCCCCAATCCCCACAAGAGCTGGGGCAGGTTGGGGAAGAGGTGGTGAGTCAGGTATGGCAGCCCGTGAGGTGTTAGGGGCCCAGCCCTAGCCCTCCCCTCTGCCCTGACTCTATCCCCCCACCTCCTACTTCCAGCCCCCTTGGTCTGTCTAAACTATCCCTTTGAAGGCCCCTCCTCCTTCCCTTCCTCCTTCCCCCTCCCAGCTCTTCTCCTCACCCCCAGAGATGAGGGTTTGGCCCAGCCAGGCTGGCCAAGCAGGCCACAGTCTAGTCTCCCTGCGCAAGAAGCCAGGGGCCAGCCAGGAGAGGCGAGGTGTGCCGTGTCTGGGGACCAAACCCAGTGGGGGTTGACAGGCCTTGGGTGACAAAGGCAGTGGATGGGGGCAACATCCCCATCGCCCCCAGCTGGGGCCCCTGGGATAGAGAGAAGAGAGGTGAACATAGGAGGAACTCCCCACCCCTTCATCCCTGGGCACAACAGACACCCACAGTCCCCGGTCCACCCTCGTGCCTACCCTGAAAGCAGGGCCACAATGTCTGACCCATTGCTGGGATGAGAACACTGAGGCCCAGAGAGGCCAGATGATACTTTTCTGACATCAGTGTCCCCACCTCTCAATGAGGAGTTGCTGAGGGGCTCCCGGGAGAGAGTGGGAAGGTTCTCAGAGACAGTTCTGCTGCAGCCCTGCCCTGGGGTCCAGGACAAACTTCACCCAGCTGGGGCTCAGTGCCTGCCTCCCCGGGGGCTGTGAGTACTGAATGAGGGCGAGTATGTTACAAAGTACAGCTTGGACCCAGCACCCAACAGGCCTGTTTCCAGAGAGGGCGATCTTATCATTCACATGCTGAAGAGGTACCTGATTATTTTATAAGGAGAATACATTTTGGGATCACTTGTATAATTTTAAAATAACGTCCCAAATTCATTCCGTAAAACTCCCCAGCAAATCTGTAGCAGATCAACTCCTAGGCTCCAGGCCCGGGTCTACCCACTCACCAGACACCCCTACCTCAGGCTGACCCCTGGGAAAACACCCCCGCTGGTTCCTCACCCTGGGCCAGTGCTGTCCCTGGCAAAAGGCTGGGGGCTGCTTTCCCAGCAGCGAGCCCTGCTCAGAGCGCTGGGTGGGACACCGCGGCGACAGCTGATAAGCCGGCCTGTTTAGTTCTGCCTGCGGAGGTCCTGGGGGGAGGCCCAGGTGGCAGACAGTGTGGCTGTGGCCTCTTCCCCTTCCTGGGCCAGCTTGGCCCCCCAAGGCCGGGAAGGCCTTTGCTAGGGGGTCTTGGGACCTCTGCCTCCAGGCCCCTGGCTGCAATGAGCCGGGCGTAGATGAGCACAGCATGCACGGATGTTGGTTTAGATGATTTTATCTTTTGGTGCAGGTATAACATGTTCTCAGGTCTAAAGCTCCATCGGGCTTCTATCTTTAGGTACAGCACCCCCTCTTCTAGGACTCTCCCCAGAGACTGTGAGATGTATGGGTATACAAGCGGGTCCGCCTGCCATACTGGCCAGTGTGCCCTGCCCCCGGCTTGGGTGTGGGAGGGTGTCCTGGGTGTGTGTGTCTGTGTTTCTGGGCACACCTTGGTCCACATGTGCTCTATTCCTACTGGCCCCCAGCTCTGCCCACGTGCCATTCCCCTGCCCAGCACGCTGTCCTCCCTTCCCCCCACACCAACACCCTCCTTTCCTTGTTCACTCATTCTTCTTCATTCTCCAGGCCTCAGTTTAAACACTCTCCTTCTGGAAGCCCTCTCTGCCCCCCAGGCTTTGGTACTCCCCCACTCAGGGCTTCCAGGACACCCCAGACTTCTTTACCATGCCTACCTGGGCTGGCCTGTTCAATGATCTGTGTCCCCACTAGACAGTCAGGTGACCAAGTTGTCCCAGTTTGCCACCAATGTTCCCAGTTTGGGTGCTGATAAACCCACATTCCAGGAAAGCCCTCAGGCCCAGGCCAGAACGGCAGGTCCCCCTTGCAGACACTGAGCCCCGTGAGGGCCCAGAGGGTTCTGCCTCATCCATCCCAGTCTCCCAGGACCTAGCCTGGTGCCTGGCAGGCGGCTCCCTAAGTATTTGCTGCATTATGAAAATAAAAGCACCACTCACGTAGCAATCACTCTGGGCCAGGCAGTATGCAGAGCATCCCACAAATAGAAACTCATCTAATCTTCACAACAACCCAGCGAAGCAAATGAAAGCTCCAAGGTCACACAGCGAGGTGGGGCGAGGGGGGAGCCAGGACTCAAGGGTCTTTACCTAGGACATTGTGGGTGCACGACTGTTCCTAGGTCTCCCAGGTGTCCTGCATGGGCTCCTGCGGAGGGAGAGCCAGGGCAGGAAGAACCCCCCGGGCTCCCACAGCCCTGCAGTGGGCAGGACTGCCAGGGACACGGGGCTGGCAGGGACCTGAGGAGAGACTGGCTTTAGCCCTGTGCTGCCAGAGTCAGGGGCCCTCCTAGGAACAGCGCCCCCTAATGCCCCAGAGCTTTGCTGCAAAGTTGAGAATTCTCTCTACTGTTGGCAGAGGGGGTGGGCTTGGAAAGGAGAGAATGTGGGGAGAGATGGTCATTGTCCCATTTTACAAGGGCGCTTACAGAGGATAAATGACCTGGCTTCTGTAGGCCTAAGAGCTCTGGGTAGCTGTCCCTTCAACAAGGGAGGCCCCCACACCCACCCTTTGCTTTAAAAATTAAAAAAGCCTTTCCTAAACACACAGCCTCCCTCCAACATGCAGTACTGGGACCTCAGTCCTGGCTCAGGCCCTCCTCACACCAGCTGTGTGTCCTGAGCCTCTCTGAGCCTCTTTCCTCTTGTGTCAGAATAATAAAAGCACCTACCTCACAGGATTGTTTGTGGGTTCCATGAATTAACAGATGTAAAGCTCCTGGAATAGTCTCGATGCAGGGCAATCGCCTAGCTGATGTTCTCTCACGTTTATTGTCGTCCCATCTAACTAGAACGGCCTTCCCCACGACATGGTCAAATCCTACACTCCTCAAGGCTTTCCTGCCCCCCTGACTCGCACCTGCCCCTCTGTGTCTGAGACCAGGGACACTCTGCGCCTTGGAAACTGCAGCCTCCATCCATCATTTGCAAATGGGTGACAAGTAACACCATCAAAACTTGACCTAATCCGTCACAATAAAACAGCCATTGGGAGACCTCCCTGAATGGCTTCTGTCCGGGAGGTTTGGAGGGGAGAGGGCCGACCAGGGCCTGGGGCTGTGCGTGGTGATCAGGAGCACCAGCTGGACAGCCTGATGGCCTGGGTGTGGACCCCAGCTCTTTTATTAGCCAACTGTGTGACCTGGGGCTCGGAGCCGGCTGTTCCTCACCTGGAAAATGGGGGCATAATCACTATCCTCATAGTGCTGTTGGGAGGAGACATTTAGAGGATCCACGTGAGGCACTTCCCTAGTATTCTGCAGCAGGAACCTCAGACCCCATAGTAGCAACTAAGCATCAGTTTCCTCATCTGTAGACCTATAGATAAGGAAGTAGAGGCAAAAAAAAAAAACCCTAGCTTTAGAGTGGAGTTCTTAGCCTGGAGCCTGGACAATGGTATTTCCCCACTTCCTTCCTCTTTTCCCTGAGGAAAGAGACAAAGGTCAGGAGGACTGGGCCTTGCATCACTCCTAGGTTACTTTAGGCAAGTCACCCAGTTCAGCCGGGCTAGAAGGGGGAGGGAGAGAAGAAGAAGGAAAGAAGGAAGGATAGGAGGAGGGATGGGAGGAGGAAAGAGGGATATGAAAGAAGAAAAAGATAAAGTAACATAACCCCCACCAGCCAGCCAACGTGGGACTGTCGCAGGCTGAGCAGATCGAGAGAGACAATGGTGGAAGGCTGTGTGGGCCCCCAGTGTCGGGAGCTAACAGCCTGCCCCAGTGGGAGTTTCCCCAGGTGGGAATCCATTCTACGTCCTTTCACTGGGCCTTCTTAGCTTTCCCAGGGCTGAGAGTTCAACATGTACTTGATGGAAATCTGCCACATTAAAATATGGAGGAGAAGGAAGAACGGAATTGGAAGCCTCACACTTCCTGATCTTAAAACATATTATAAAGCTATGATACAGAAAACAATACGGTACTGGAGCAGAAACAGACATCTAGACCAACGGAACCAGAGAGCCCAGAAACAAACCCTCCTATGTATGGTCAAATGATCTTCCACAAGCATGCCAGGGCTACATGATGGGGAAAGGAGAGTCTCTTCCACAAATGGGAAGACTGCACATTTACGTGCAACAAAATGAAGTCCGATCCTTATCTTACACTCGATACAAAATCAACTCAAAGTGGGTTAAAGATCTAAGTGTAAGACCTGATACCACAGAGCTACTAGTAGAAAACATAGGGGAGAAGCTCTACAACATGGGATTGGGCAAGGATTGCTTGGATCTGGCACAAAAAGCACAGGGAACAAAAGCAAAGAGACGCGTGGGACTACACCAAACTAAAAAACTTCCACGCAACACAGAAAACAAAGTGGAAACAACCAACAGAGCAAAAAGGCAACCGATAGAACGGAAGAAAATACTTGCAAATCATATGTGTAATAAGGGGTTAATATCCAGAATATATAAGTAACCCCTGTAACTCAATAGCAAAAACACCCCCAAATAACCCGATGTAAAATGGGCAAAGGACTTGAATAGACATTTCTCCAAAAAGACATACAAATGGCCAGCAAGCACATGAAGATATGCGCGACATCACTAATCATCAGAGAAATGCAAATCAAAATTACAATGAAAAATTGCCGCACACTCATTAGGATGGTCACTATCTAAAACAAAAAACAAAACCAAAAAAAACCACACACACAAACTGGAAAATAACAAGTGTTGGTGAGAATGTGGGGAAATTGGAACTTTTGTGCAATCTTGGTGGAATTGTAAAAGGGTGCAGCCACTATGGAAAACAGTATGGCAATTCCTCAAAAATGTAAAAATAGAATTACCAGATGATCCGGCAACTCCACTTCTTGGTATATGTCTTAGTCCATTTGGACTGCTATAACAAAATACCATAGATTGTGTGGCTTATAAACCACAGAAATGTATTTCTCACGGTTCTGGAGCCTGGAGGTTCAAGATCAGGGTACCAGCACGGTCAAGTTCTGTTGAGGGCCCTCTTCTGGGCTGCAGGCTGCTGATTTCTTGGATCCTCACACTGAAAAGAGCAGAAAGCTAATTCTACTAATGCATTAAATTCCACTAACTCATGAAGGCTCCACACTCATGGTCTAATCACCACCCAAAGGCCCCATCTCTAAATACCACCGCAGTAGGATTAGGGTTTCAACATATGAATTTGGGAGGACACAAACATTCAGTCCATAGCAGTATATATCCAAAAGAATTGAAAACAGTATCTCAAAGAGACATTTGCATATTCATGTTTATTGCTGCATTATTCACAATAGCCAAGAGATGGAAGCAACCTACCTGTCTATGGAAGGACAAAACAAAATGTAGTCTATACGTACAATGGAATGTTATTCAGCCTTAAGAAAAGAAGGAAATCTTGTCAGACATTACAACCTGGATAAACCCTGAGGGCATTATGCTAAGTGAAATAAGTCCGTCGAAAAAAGATAAATTCTAGGGGTGCTTGGGTGGCTCAGTCGGTTAAGTGTCTGCCTTCCACTCAGGTCCTGATCCCAGGGTCCTGGGAACGAGCCCCAGCATGGCTCAGGGCTTCCTGCTGAGCAGAGAGCCTGCTTCTCCCTCTTTCTCTACCCCTCCCCCCGCTTGTGCTTTCTCTCTCTCTTGCTCTCTCCCAAATAAATAAAATCTTTAAATAAAAAAAAAAGACAATTCCTGCATGATTCTATTTTTATATGAAGTCTCTAAAGTCATCAAACTCATAGAAACAGAAAGTAGAATGTGGTTTCCAGGGGCTGAAGGGAGGGGGATATCGGGAGTTGTTCAACGGGTATAGAGTTTCAGTTATGCAAGATGAAAAAGTTCTAGAGATCTGTTGCACAACAAAATACATATAGTTAACACTATTGTATTGGACACTTAAATATTAGCTAAACTGGGGCGCCTGGGTGGCTCAGTCGTTAAGCATCTGCCTTTGGCTCGGGTCATGATCCCAGGGTCCTGGGATCAAGGCCCGTGTCGGGCTCCCTGCTTGGCAGGAAGCCTGCTTCTCCCTCTCCCACTCCCCCTGCTTGTGTTCCCTCTCTCGCTGTGTCTCTCTCTGTCAAATAAATAAATAAATTCTTTAAAAAAAAAAAATTAGCTGAACTTATGGAGGTGATCATATATATGTATTTATATATATGATATATAAAATATATCTCAATTCATCATGTTGCACACCTGAAACATATACAATATGTCAATTATATCCAGTAGAACTAGGGAAAAAAGAAAAATGGGCAAAACCACTTACTGCTTTCTTTCATATATGCACCCACTTTTCCTTAGGCTCAAATGTAACCAAATATATACCCTGGTTAAAGGCTGGGAAGCTTGCTCCTCTCTCTCTCTCTCTCTCTCTCTCTCTCTCTCACACACACACACACACACACACACACACACAGGCTTTTTTTAAACACAAATTGGGATCATACTTTATATACTACTGCACAATTGTCTTGGTTTGCCTATCAATATCACAGAGAACCCAAGTCACTGTATATGGGATTGAGCGAATACATTCCTTTTTTTTTTTTTAATTCTGGTATAGTTCACAGTGTTAGTTTCAGGTGTACAATATAGTGATTCACCAATTTTACACATTACTCAGTGCTCATCATGGTAAGTGTCCACTGAATCCCCATCACCTATTTCCCCCATCCCCCATCTGCCTCCCCTCTGGTCACCATCAGTTTGTTCTCTAGAGTTAAGAGTCTGTTTCTGTTTTGTCTCTTTTTTTCTTTGTTCATTTGTTTTTTTCTTGGATTCCGTATATGAGTGAAATCATATGGTATTTGTCTTTCACTGACTGACTTATTTCACTTAGCATTATAGTCTCTAGATCTATCCATGTTGTTGCAAATGGCAAGATTTCATTCTTTTTGATGGCTGAGTGATATTCCATTGTATATATACACCACATCTTCTTTATCCACTCATCAGCTGATGGACACTTGGGTTGCTTCCATATTTGGGCTATTGTAAATAATGCTGCAATAAACATAAGGGTGCATATATCTTTTTGAATTAGTGTTTTTGTATTCTTTGGATAAATACCCAGCAGCGGGATTACCAGATCATATGGTAATTCTATATTTAATTGTTTGAGGAACCTCCGTACCGTTTTCCACAGCGGCTGCACCAGTTTGCATTCCCACCAGCAGTGCACGAGGGTTCCCCTTTCTCCACATCTTCACCAACACTTACTTCTTCAATGAGCTCGTTCGTAGCAGTCCACAGTATTCTCAAGTTTGGATGTAACCAAATTTATCCTCCTACGCCCTAGAGGCAGACACGGCAGACTGTCATTATAAAGAACACTATAGTAAAAAATATTTTTTTTAATGGCTAGATTTTATGGATAAAGTTCTGAAAGTGGGACTGGTGGGGCAAAGGGCATGCCCATTTCTACTTTAACAGTGCTTGGTGAAAAATGGTATTTAGTTTATATTTTTATTTGCATTTCCCCAGCAACTGGGAAGGCTATGTGCCTTTCTCATGTTTGCATTTCCTCATCTGTGAAGTGATGCTGTGCATTTTTCTATTGTTTGACTTTTTCCAATTAATTTATAGGAATTCCACATGAGGGATCAAAAGGGATATGAAAGACACGAACCCTTAATTTTATTTTTTTCAGATTTTATTTATTTATTTGAAATAGAGCAAGAGTGAGCGAGCGAGAGAGAGCAAGCGCATGAGCAGCAGGAAGGGGCAGAGGGAGAGGGAGAAGCAGGTTTCCCCCTGAGCAAGGAGCCTGGCATGGGGCTCGATCCCAAGATCCTGGGATCATGACCTGAGCCGAACGCAGACACTTAACGACTGAGCCACCCGGGCGCCCCCCACTTTGTCTATTTTATACATACCAAATTTTTCTCCCCATCTACTACTGTCTCTAGACTTGCTTGTGGAGTCTCTTACTGTGTAGACCTCTAAACATCTTAATTTGGTCTAACCTGTCTTTTCCTTCATGCTCATGGGTCCCTGGCTCCTCGAAAAGATTCTCCCTACCCCCAAGATTATACAAGACTTTTCCTAAAGCATTCACCTTATATTTTTACTTCTGATTTTTCATATTTAGATCAGTTATCCAGATGGATGCAATGTTCGTTTTGCACTTACCCTGTACATCTTTCCTCATTAGTTTATATTAATTATCTTAACTCTTTTGAAATACTGCATCATATTCCACTAAAAGAGTCACTGGCTTAGTCAGCTTGTAGTATTTTGGGGTACTGAAGTTATTTCCAGGTTTTTTTTTTAAAGAGTGTATTTATTTATTTGACAGGAAGCGAGAGACCACAAGCAGGGGGAGTAGCAGAGGGAGAGGGAGAAGCAGACTCCCCACTGAGCAGGGAGCCCCACATGGGGCTCAATCCCAGACCCTGGGATCATGACCGGAGCTGAAGGCAGACGCTTATCCGACTAAGCCACCCAGGAGCCCCTAATTCCAGTTTTAAACACTATTTAATAATAATAATAGCTACCAAATATTGAGTGCTTATTACGTGACAGGCCCAGGCGCACACATGTTGTGCATATTACCTAATGTAACTCTCACGACAGTTAGGGGGTATGTTCTATTACATCTTTTATTCTCTTGTCAAGGAAATAAGTGGTGAAATAAGTGTTGAAGCTAGGATTCTGATCTAATCCAATATTGAAGGACTCAAAAATCCCAAGCTCTTCACCACCAGATGCATGTTCTTTAGTATTTACAAATGTGGCTTGAAATATCCCCAACTTTCATTTCTGTAAGGATGGAGAAAGGAAAATAAACATTTTTTATTTTCTTCCTCTACCCAAACCCTGTAGATGTGTCACAGGTTGTCTCCTGGAATTCTTACAAAAGCCCTCTGAGGGGTGGGATTCTCCACTTTCCAGACGGGAAAAGGGAAATTCAGTGAGGTGAAGACAATCACTCAAGGTTTGTGGGTGACCATGGGGGGTTCAAACCCAGTTCCAAGCAACTTGTGTATTCCTATTTTGCACTTAGAAAGATATGCGTACTCGCTTTACAAATAACACATTGACGAACCCGTAGTTTTTTGTTTTGTTTTTTTTTCTTTTGCTGCTGCTGAACTGTTTCCTTGGGATACATTCCCAGAAAGAGATTACTGAGTCAAAGGGTATGAATACTTTTATGGCTTTCCATCTATACTGCCAAATTGTTATTACAGAGGTCTGCACCCCACAGTCTCTGCACCGTGGGGGGGACCTTCAAGCTCTACAGTGTCAAATACTCAGGTGGGGAAACTAAGCTTCCGAGGGGTGCTGCATTGAACACATTGAGCCCTGAGTAGAAGCATTTTCCAAAGATCTGGTAGATAAGCACTGTATAGTGGGTTTAGAAGCTGGGCGCTTTTGTTTTTTTGTTTTGTTTTGCCTAGCTTTGTCTCTTTTGTGAAATCCTTCAAAACGTGACTAAAAATGGGATTAAGCATAGTTAGGCTTATCTTTTTAAGGAAAGGACAAATCTGACAAAAACCCTTTTCTGATGCGGTGCCCCTTGGGGACAGGACTCCCAGCAGCTTGGCCCAGAGGGGGCAGCTTTGGGGGAGCAGCTGGAGGCAGGGGCATCTTGGGGAGGGAGGCCTGGTGGGGAGGAGGCGCGTCAGGGAAGGGGCATCCTGGGGTGAGGGGGCGCGGCGGGCAGGGGCAGCCCGGGGAGGGGCGGGCCGGGCGGGGTGAGGGGACCTGCCGCATCCCCGGCGCCCGGGGGCGGGGGGGCCACCAGCGCGCTCGCGGGGGCGGCCGATAAGGCGGGAGCGGCCCGTCGCCGCGGCGGCCCCGGCCCGGCGGGAAGGCAGGCAGGCGGGAAGGGGCCCGGCCGGCCGGAGCAGATAACGCCCGGCGCTCGGGCGGCCGAGACTGGGAGACGCCGCGGCCGCGGGAGATAGAGGCGCCCCGACCGGGCGCGGCTCCCGGCCCCCGGCCCCGGCGCCCGCAGCGGGCAGGCCCGGGGGCGGCGAGGCGGCCCCGAGGGTCCGGGGCGGCGCAGGGCCCGGGGCCGCCCGGCGACCTCAGGCGGCCCGGCCTCCCCCCCACCCCCACCCCGCACCCCACCCCCGGCTCCGCGCTGGGATCCTGGCCGCGGCCCAGGTCTGCCCCCCGGGGCCCCAGACAGAAGTCTTCCCCGGGACTCCGCTCGCTGCTCGGCAAGAGCAGGGCACTGAGGAACCCTCGGTAACCTCTCCAACACGCGGCGGGTGACGCGCTCGGAGAGCACAAGGCCGGCTCTCGGGTCCGGAGCCTGGCCCCCCAACAGCTCGACGGCGGTGACATCGCCCCCTTTTCAGGGATGGGGCTCAAGGAACCTGCGCTGGGGGCCGGGCGCGCCAGGGGCAGGGTCCGGACCCCGGGGCTCCCCACTTGTCTTCCACTGCCCCACAAACGGGGGGCTTTTCCCCCTTGGAGGCTGACAAGGCAGTCGCCACCGGTGGCATTTTGCATTCTGCCTTTTCAAATTCCTCAAATTCCCCACATCAAATTCAGTTGGCGTCCAGACAGCCAGGGAGGAGGAGCGCTGGGAGAGGCCGCAGAGGGGCTGCCAGGAGCCATAAACGGGCGGCTCTCCGGCAGAGAAACAGCTTCAGGAGTGGATGGAAATTCACACACACACACACACACACACACACACACGGAACCTCCCTGAAACACCCCACTGCCAAAATCAAACACCTCCAGACAACAGCAAGCGGGGCCTGACTTCACCTGGCGATCAAGGTCCTGCCCATCCCGGCACCCACCCTCCTACACTGGCCAGGACTGCGTACACCCTTTCCACGGTATACAGTCGGCCGCCACAATGCCTCACCGTCTTGGCTCCTGGGCAGCCCTAAAGCCTTCCTCTTTCTCCCCCACTTAACCCCAATAAGGATTTAACTCTTCATAGTACCTTCGTAAAGGATTTTCAAGGGGATTTTTGGTTTTTTTGGGTTTTTTTGCATTAAGCTGCCTTAAGAACTGTACCCCAAGTAAAATCCAACTCCTCTGTAATACAGCTATCATTAATTGCAAGCCTACGGTATGCCAGGCTCTTTCATACAGTATCACATCCTGTCAGCAACCCCAGGAGAGAGGAGATACCACTCCCATTTTACAGATGAGGGAAACTGAGCTTGGAGAGGTTCATTAACTTGTCCAGGGGCACAGAGCCAGAAATTGGTTTGGCCTAACTCCAGATTCAGGCAGAATGTGAGTAAAAAGCCGCAGAGTAAGAAACCTTGGTTGTCTTCTAGGCATTTAGGCACTCAGTTGACCACTATTAGGCAAGCCCCTCTCTTTCTCTGGGCCTCAGTCTACTGGGAGAGAACTGGAGATGACTTCCCAGTTCCTGCTTCCCAGGCCAGTTGGGAGGCTCTGCAGAGAGCTGGGTAAGGCTGGGACTACTGGCCGACCCCTCCTGCTGGGGAAATTCTAGGTCACAGGTATGCTTCTTTCTCCACCCCCCACCCCCACCCCATTACAAACTCTGACTCATGGAAACAGAGTTATTATCTGTGCCCCCTGCAACTCAGGCGGGCCTCTCCTGAAAACAAATCTCCCATTTCCTTTTGGCAGGTGGGCAATATGGGCAATCTCTGGGGCCCTCTACTTCCAGTCTCTGTGCACACCCCCAACCCTCTGCCCTGTTCCTCCCCATCCCAGCTCCTGGGCTCTCAGGGCCCTGCTCCCTCTCTTCTTCCCCATCCAAACTTGCTCAAGGAAAAGCCACTCCATCAGCCAGTTACAGTTAAGTATGAATGAGTTCAAGTTACTAGCATGTGCTTCCCAAAATATGCACGTTATCAGCCTGGGGTTCTGGACAGTTACTAATATGGGGTAATGTACACCCCCACCCCACCCCCAGGCAGGAAGCCTGGTCCTGCCCAGTGCATCTGGAATTCCATATTTTTATATTTTTATTGGTTTTCCCCCTGTGCCCCACATCCTGAGCTAAGGGAGAGGGTTTTTACATGAGCCCACTAATTAACAGAGAACAGAAGCCTTATTTCATAAATAAAATCATAGATACACTGTATGAATAGAAACGTAGCACGTTCCTGGAGAGTGTTTAAACTTTTAAAATATTCCCCCCAGGGTCTGGGCAGGTGAGCCCCGAGGGGTTTTTCCATGGAAGACCTTGGGGTGAGGGAGGGCTGTCCCTTAGGAAAAAGGAGTTCCCTTGGGCTCTGAACTGAGCCCGTTTGCAGCCTGGCCTCCAGGGCCTGGTGGCCCCCTACGTGCCCATTCCTGCCCCAGCTGTATCAGCCCTTCCCCACACAGGCTTTGCTGGGTCTCTG